TCTTCTCCCTCCTCCTCCTCCTCCTTCTCCTCCTCCCTCCTCCTTCTCTCCTCCTCCTCCTCCTCCTCCTCCTCCTTCTCCTCCTCCTCCTCTCCTCCTCCTCCTCCTCCTCTTCCTCCTCCTCCTTCCTCCTCCTCCTTCAGAACATGAGAAAAATCACATATAGATAAAAATTCGATTAAAAAAACGGAAATGAAAACTTATTTTACTAATGACATCCTTCCCTTAAAAAATACGACATTTTAAAAAGGTCTAACTGATATATATATTTTTTTGAAAGTAAGAGACATGTCCGGTGACAGAATGATATGTTGATAAAAAAAAAAAAATGTCAGGTAAGATAAAAGAAAAAAATGAAAATACCTGATTGATGATAGAAAAAAAACGGAAGATTAGAATATGAAAAATGAAATGAATTTATAAAAAAAGAAATAAAAAGAGAGAAAAAAAAGAATTTATAAAAAAAGATGAAAAATAAAATGTTTGAAAAATAGGAAGGAAGATAGGAAGAAAGAAAGAAAGAAAACAACGAAATAAAGAGGTAACACAAATATAAGTGAGGGACAAATTATTAGTCATTATTCATATGGAAAAAAATTGCACACACACGTGAAAGTACAATCGCACGCACACATACAAACATACACACAAACACACACACACCAACTTACACACACAAACACACACATACAAACACTCACACACGCACACACACACACACAAACACACACACACACACACACACACACAAACACACACACACACACACACACTACACACACACACACACACACACACACACACACATCACACACACACACACACAACACTCTCTCACACACACACGCAAACACACACGCACACACGTACACACAGACATGCCTCTTATTCATTCATCATATATCATCTATCCAGCCACAAATAGATATATTTACAACACACACCTTTCTAGCCTCTGCCAAGAATCCCCCCCCACCCCCTTCCCTCCCCTCTCCCTCCTCCCCTTCCCCTCTTTTCCTCTCACCTTCTCTCTCCTTCCTCTCCCTCTTCTATATTTTCCCTCTCCTCTCCTCTCTCTCTCTTCCTTTCTCGCCCCTACCTTACCTTCTCTTTCTCCCTTTCTTTCTATCTCTCCCCTTCTTCACTCTCCCTTTTCCCCTTCTTCCCTCTCCCTCTTCCTACTCCTCCTTCCCTCCCCCTCCTCTCCTTTCCCTTTCCCTTTCCCCTCCTTCTCTTACTCCTCCGTCCCTTTCCTTCCATTCTTCCCTTTTCCCTTCTCTTCCCCTCCTCCTCCTCCTACTCCTATCCCCCCTCTACCTCCTCCTCTTCCCTTTCTCCCCTCTCCTCTTTTTCCCCTTTCCCTTCCCTTCTTCCCCTCTCCTCCCTCTCCTCCCTACTCATTCCTCGCTCCCTTCCCCCTTTCCCCTGCCTTCCCTCCCCTCCCTTCCTTCTCCTCTCCCCTCTCTCCCTTTCCCTTCCCCTCTACCCCTTCTTACTCCTTCCCCTCTCTTTCCCTTCCCCTATTCCTCCCTTCCCTTCCCCTCTCCCCTTCCCCTTCCCTATCCCCCCTCACCCTCTCCCTCTCCCCTTCCCCTCTCCTCCTCTATCTCCTCCTCCTTCACGTAACAGCATTTGAAATCACGTTCTCTCCGTCGACCACTTGTTCTATCACGCTGTTCTTGGCACCGTGAACAACCACCGGTGAGGAGGGGCTGGGGGAGGGGGGGTAGGGGCTGGGGGAGGGGGGGCGGGGGCATGGGGAAGGGGGTATGGGTAGGCATATTGGGGAGGGAGGGAAGGAGGTTTGTTGGAAGGAGGAGGAGGGGTGTAGGGGGAGGGGGTAGATAGGGAGGGGGAGGTGGGGAGGGGGTAGATGGTGGTAGAGGTGGAGAGGGGGAGGGATGGGGGAAGGGGGTGGATGGGGAAGGGGTATGGGGGAGGGGGTGATAGGGGGAGGAGGAGGGTTTGGGGGAAGGGGGGGAGAGGTGGGAGGGGGAGGGATGGTTGAAAGGGGTAGGGGGTAGATGAGGGAGAGGGGAGGTGATAGGGGGAGGGAGATGGATGGGAGAAGGAGGAATATGAAGAGAAAAGAATGGGGGAGAGATGATAAAGCGAAGAAAGAAGGGAGAGAAAGAAGAGTGGAAGGGGAGTGGGAGAAAGAGAGAGCAGAAAAAGGAAGTGGGAGAACACAGGAAAGGACATAATATAAGGAGACAGGAGGAAAAGAAGAAGAAAAAGAAAAAAAAGAAAAGAAAATGAATTTGGAAACAGAAAAACAAACAAACAAACAAACAAAAAAAAAAATCGGCGAAAATAGAAGGAGAAAAAATAAAAGAGGGAAAAGAGACAAAAGGGATAAAGAAAGGAACAGGGGAAAGGGAAGGGGAGGTGGAGAGAGAAGGATAGAGTTTAACTGGGCGTGTAAGACAATAAGCATGTGTTTCTGCCTTTCATCCGTGTAAAAAGTCTGTGTGCGTGTGTTGTGTGTTTGTTTGTCTGATTTACTTACGTGGATTTGTATGTTCCACTAGAACAAAAAAAATAGAAAGAAAGAAAGAAAGAAAGGGAAGAAAATAGAAAGAAAGAAAGGAAGGAAGGAAATAGAAAGAAAGAAGGAAAGAAAGGAATAAATAAATAAATAAATAAATAAATAAATAAATAAATAAAGAAAGAAGAAAGAAGAAGAAAGAAGAAGAAAAGAAGAAGAAAAGAAAGAAAGAAGAAGAAGAAGATTTACTTACGTGGATTTGTATGTTCCACTAGAAAAAAAAAAAAAAAGTAAGGAAGGAAGGAAGAAAAGAAAGAAAGAAAGAAAGAATAAGAAAAAGAAAGAAAGAAAGAAAGATAGAGTAGAAAGAAGAAGAAAGAACTAGAAGAAGAAGAGGAAGAAAAAAAAAACAGTAACAAAATGGATAGCTACATAACCCACGGCTAACTAAATCACATAAAAAGCAAAATAAAACCCAGCTCCCAACACGAATCTTAAAAAAAATCAACACCCCACAAAACCCCACACATAAGCGGACGAACTCACAGAAAATAAAAAAAGAAAAATAAAAAAACATAAATTAAATTTACCGAATATTACATATTACACATTAGAGTTGTCAGATGAGAGGGCAGGTGTATAGTGATATAGTTCGCATAACGAGGAGTCCTAACTGCACTAATGTAGCGAGAAAGAAGCTTTGGATCAGAGTGTGTTTTCAGATAAACTGCGCAAGGACTACGGATTCAGCACTTCGAGGATTGGAAAGACAACCCAAACGAATGAAAATGTCAACCTTTTATTTCCGCTTACTGCATTTCACATCATCGAGATAACGTTAATCTATCTATTTCACCATATATATTACTCGTTATCCAGGAACTTAATTGGTTGGAATGTTTATTTTAGATTTCGTTCGTGAACCGACGTAAGTATGTTAACACTGTAAACGCTTGCTCTATGTCACACAAAATCGGTTTTTACGTTGGGCATTGTCGTTTTGACGATTTAAATCTTTTTTTTAGTTCTTTCTGAGTGTCATTGTTACTCTTAAAACTCTGGATAATCATGATCAAAAAGTGCTTAAACGGTGACTGGATATCTCATTATCATGAATTCATTTATTAACACAATCTTGGGAAGGTGATGAGAACGTAAGTTGAAAATCGAATTAGATGAGTACCTAACATAAATTGGGTATTCCTTTTAGAAGTATCTGAGTCATAATATAATGAACTTTATTTATTCATTACCTATCGATCTCTTCCATCCCATATTAATATATCTGATTATATATACACGTATAATCTTGGTATAATATATACTTATTTAATTAGTCTATTACTATAGATAATTTATTCAGTGAGTATAATATATATTGTGATGGTGTGTGTGTGTGTGCTCGTGTGTGTTGTGAGGTTGATGTCGTGCACGTGGTGCGTTGTTGTGTTGGTCATGCCTGGCTCGTTGTGTCGCCTATGTAATTGCTCGTGTGTGTGTCGAATAGTTGGGGGGGTTGGTACTAGCGTGTGTGTGTTGTTTTCGCTGTTTGTGTCTGTGTTGTGGTGCTGATATGTGTGGATCTGTGGGTGTGTCCTGTTTGTGGATGTGTGATGTGTGTGTGTAGTTGTGGTGATGAATTATGTTTTGCCTGTGGGTGTGTGTTTGTGTAAAGTGTGTATTTTCATATATATAAGTATACATACATTTCTACACACACCCGATGATATCCACATTTTTGTACGTAAAGTAAGTATTGAACATAACAACTTGGTTATCGTTACACTATTTATTGATTTATATGAATAATTTATATTACAAGTATGATATGGTACGTACACTACTTGATGTATATTATTATAGTATGTATGTACGTAATCATATTATTGTTCTCCATAATATATCTTTATTAATCGCGGTATAAACATATGTGTCATAACTGTTATCATCTCATTCTATCAAACTGTCTGTAGTCATAAGGTTTTACTCAAGCAATTATATAATATGATATCTCGGATCTACGTGCGGCGGTGTCGTGCGCGTGCGTCTTGCTGCCCCTGCCTGCACGCCTGCACGCCCGCCCCCCCCCATCCTATCCGTACATCGACGCTCTCGTCATCTCTCTTCTCCTGTTCTCTTCCTCCTATCTCCACAACTCTTCCTTTTCTCCCTTCATTCTCTTACTCCTCTTCCTTTCCCCTTTCCTTCTTAGTTTGCTCTCTCGCCGCTCTCTATCTCTCCTCTCTCTCTCTTTTTTTTTTTTTCTTTTTTTTTTTTTTTTTTTTTTTTTTTTTTTTTTTTTTTTTTTTTTTTTTTTTTTATTTTTTTTTTTTTTTTTATTTTTTTTTTTTTTTTTTTTTTTTTTTTTTATTTTTTTTTTTTTTTTTTTTTTTTTTTTAATTCCCTCCTGCATGTCCCTTATACCTCCATTTCTCATTTATTCCTTTTCCTTTTTTCTCTCTCGTGTCCTTCTCCTCCTGCTCGTCCACGTAAAACGCAAACAGGGTACAGAATGCAACGTAAGCATCGTCGCATTCTGTACCCTGTTTACTGCAATAGAAAAGCTGTCAGACCCGTGTTGCAAGAGGCGGGTCATTATGCACCGGCGTCAACATCCACTGACTGGTCTTTTGCGTCCTTGATTTCCACGACAATCGGGAGCTATAAAGGTGATTTTCGCCGGATTGCGCCGGGATTCGGTAGATGGAAGAGAGGGGGCGGGATAGAGGGTTGGCGGGATAGAGGGTGGGAGGGGGGAGGGATAGAGGGTTGGGAGGGGGGGGAGGGATAGAGGGAGGGGGGGATGGGTTGGGTAGGAAGGGGTGGAGGGGAAGGGGAGGAGAGAGAGGAGGGAGAGGGAGGGGGAAGAGGGGGAGAGAGCGGGAGAGGGAAGGAGATGGGAAGAGGGGAAGAGGGGAGGGTAGGAGAAGGAAAGAGAAGGGGGAGAGGGTGGAAAGGAGAAGGAGAGGAAGAGGGTGGGGAGGGAGAGGGGAAGGAGAGGAAGACGGAGAGGGGAGAGAGTGGAGAGAAGGAAAGGAGAAGGTGAGGAAAGGGTGGAGGAGAGAGAGAGGGAGAGAAAGAGAGAGATGAAGGAAGAAAAAAAATGAGAGAGAAAGAATCCAAAAAGAGAAAAGAAATAGATAACATACACACACAGTCAAAAAAGAAAAAAAAAAGAAAAAAAAAATCAGACACACACGCACACACACAAACAAGCAAACAAAACAAACAACAAAACAAACAAAATCAAGCAAACACCGCACGGATGCATAAACAATTTGAAAAAAAAAAATCAATTAAAAGGCAAGTGTGGAGGAAGGAGGGGAGAGGTAGGGGTAAAGGGGGGGGGAGGGTAAAGGCGGGGGAGGTAGTGCCATGGGCCTAGGTATGACAGCCTGACACACATGGCACTGGCAGCTGGATTAATTATATATCATTCACATCACTTTGGCACTGTGCCTGTTTGGGGTGGGGGTGGGGAGGCATGGGAATAGGGGAGAGGGAGAAGGAGAAGAGGGGAAGAGAGAGAGAAGGGAGGAGAGAGAAGAGTAGAGGGAAAGAGAGAGGGAAGAAGGAGAATAGGGAGAAGGGGAAGACAGGAAGTGAGAGAGGAGAGAGGAGAGAGAAAAGGGGGGGGGGGAGAGAGAGAGGGAGGAGAGGAGAAGGGGGAGAGAGGGGAAATAGAGAGGGGAAGTGAGAAAGGAGGAGGAGAGGGAGAAGGACAAGAGGAGAAGTGAAGAGAGGGGAAGGAGAGAGAGGAAAGAGAGGAAGAGAGAGAGAAAGGAGAGGAGAATGAGAAGAGGGATAATGAGAAAGAGGGGAAAGAGAAGGGAAGGGGAGAAGGAAGAGGGGAAAGGGAGAGAGATGGGAAGAAGGAGGAGAAGATAGGAAAAGAGAGGAGAAAGGGCGAAGATAGGAAGAGAGAGGGTAGAGGAGGATACAGAATGGGAGGAGAGAGGGAAAACTGGGAAGAATGAAAGAGGTGAGAAGGAGGGCATGGAAGGGAGAAGAAGAGGAGGGAATAAAGATATAGGAAAAGGGAAACTCGGAAACTCGGAAAGGGGCGAAAGGGGGAGATGAGGGAGGAGAAAAAGGATAGCAGGAGGAGACTGAGAGAAAGTAGAAGGGTAAATAAGAAAATAGAAAACATTAGGAGGAGAAATAAGAGAAAGGGTGGAAGAAAGGGAGAGGAGGGAGAGGAGAGATGAGAAAGAGGAGGAGGGCCGAAGATGATGAAAGGAGGTGAAAGAAAAGATAGAGAAACGAGAAGAGAATTAACTTCAATCTGCTTCATGATTCACAATTTATCATTTTTTCTTATTCCCTTTTTTATCAACCTTCGCGAAAGAGAGGGAGAGAATGATAGTGCAAGAAAGGGGGAAAAAGGAGAGAAGGAGATAGGGAGAATAGGGAGAATAGGGAGAATAGGGAGAGGGGGAGGGGGAAGGGAGTTATACTGAGGAGGGGATGTTAGAAAAAGTGGGGGGGGTAGAGTGGTATGTAGGGGGGGGGGGGTATAGTGGCATGTAGGGGCGGAGGGGAGGATGAGGGTGAGGGAAGTGAGGGGGGAAGGATGGGGAGGAGTGAAGGATGAGGGGGGAAGTGGGGGTACATTACTCTTTGGGGCACTTTGTGGGTTGGAGAGCTGGAGGGGGGAGGGGAGGGGGTGATGAGAAGAAGAGGATGGGTTGGGGAGGAGAGGCGGGGAGGAGGGGAAAGGGGGGGGAAAAATGTTGGAGTGGGGTGGGGGAATGTGATGAGGAAGAAGATGGGGGAAAGACCGTTGGAGAGAATAGAATGGCGTGGGAGGAGAGTGTTGGGAGTTGGGGGGGGCGATGTTGGTGGAAATACCGGGGTGAGAGGGGGATGAGGAGAGGGAGGAGGGTGGGGGGTGGGGGGATGTTGGTGAAATACCGTGATGGGGAGGGGGAGGTGATGGGGGTGGGAGAGAGTGGGAGGTGGAGGGGGTGGAGGGGATGAGAGAGGAGGAGGAGTGGGAGGGTGGGGGGGTGAGAGCATAGACCATGAGGTAGCGCTAATATTAAACTCGACGCGTTAATGAGGCAATTAATAAACAACCTAATTCCGGGTCATGAGCAGTCAGCGCTGTTGGAGACGTTCTTTGTGAATAAGTAAGGATAAGGAGTGGAGGAGGAGGAGGAGGAGAGGAGGAAGGAGGAGGAGGAGGAGGAGGAGGGGAGGAAGGGGAGGAGAAGGAGGAGGAGAAGGGGGAGGAGGAGAAAGGGAGGAGAGGAGGACGGGAGGAGCGAAGGAGGAGGAGGAGGAGGAGGAGGAGGAGGGAGGAGGGAGGAAGGGAGGTGGTAGGAGGAGGTGGGAGAGGAGGAGGGGTGGAGAGGAGGGGAGGAGGGAGGAGGAGGAAGGGGGGGAGGAGGAGGTGGAGGCGAAGGGGAAGAGGAGGGAAGGGGGGGAGGAGGAGGAGGAAGGGGAGAGGAGGGGAAGGAGGAGCATGGGGGAGGAGGGTAGGAAGAGGAGGGAAGGGTGAGGAGGAGAAGAGAGGAGAGAGGAGGGAAAGGGGAGGAGAGGAAGGAGGCAGGAGGAGGAGGAGGTTGAGGAGGAGGAGGAGGAGGAAGGAGGGGAGGAGGAGGTTGGAGGAGGGGTTAGAGGAATGGGAGGAGGAGGAGGAGAAGGAGGAGAGAGGAGGAGTGGAGGAGGTGGAGGAGGAAGGGGAGGAGGAGGAGAGGAGGCAGAGGAAGGAAGAAGAAGAATGGAAGGAGGAGAGAAAGAGGAGCGAGGGGGAGGAGGAGGAGGGAAGGGGGGAGGAGGTGGTGGAGGTGGAGGAGGAGACGAGGAGGAGGAGGAGGAGGAGGAGGGAAAGGGGGAGGAGGGCGAAGGAGGAAGGGAGGAGGAGGAGAGGAGGATGGCGAGAGGAGAAGGAGGGAAGCGGGGAGGGGAAGGGAGGGGTACGGAGGAGGGAGGAGGTGGAGGGGAGGCAGGAGGAGAGAGAAGGAAAGTGAAAAAGTATAGGATAACAACAAAGAGAGGAGGAGAGAGAGAGAGAGAGAGATGAGAGAGAGAAGACTGAGAGAGATGAGATGAGAGAGAGAACCGAGGAGAGAGAGAGAGAGAGAGGAGAGAGACTTTCGGAGCAATGAGAGACCAAAATAATGAACGAGAAGACAGAGTGAAACACAAATTATAAGAAGAGAGGAAAGAGAAGAGAGAGGGAGCTCGGATGACGAGAGAGGAGAGAGAGAAGCGATAAGGACGATGCAGGGAGGACGAAGCAGATTGTAGGAGAGACAGAGATGAGACGAGAGGAGAGAGACGATGAGAGAGGACGAGAGAGAGAAGAGATGAGAGAGAAGAGAGAGGAGAGAGACAGAGAGAAGAGAGAGACGAAGAGAGAGATGAGAGAGACGAGAGAGAGAGAGACGCAGGAGAGAGAGAGAAGGAGAGGAGAGAGAGAGAGAGAGAGAGCATAGAGAGGGGGGGGGGGGGGGGCGGGGCTAGAGAGAGAGAGACAGAAAAAAACAAAGAAGAGTGAGAGAGAGAGAGAGAGAGACAAAAAACAAACAAACAAACAAAAAAACAACAACAAAGAATAAAGAAGAGAAGACCGCAGCCAGGAACCACACCAAAGTCCCGGATGAAGTGACGTCACGCGAGATCTCCCAGGACGCCAAATTTATCCTCGTCATTAAACACTGGTATTTTTTTTTTTTTATTCTTTTAATTTTTATTTGCTTTTATTTAATTCATCATGCTGTCTTATTGTCGTTATTTTTAATTTCTTATTTTTATCTATCTTTTTTTTAGCATTATCTTCATCATCAGGGAGGTGGAGGAGGGAGGAGGAGGAGAAGAGAGGAAGAAAGAAGAAGAAGAAGAAGAAGAGGAGGAGTGAGAGGAGGAAGAGTGAGGAGAAGGAGGAAAGGAGGAGGAGGGGAGGAGAAGAAGAAGAAGAAGAGAAGAAGAAGAGAAGAAGAAGAAGAAGAAGAAGAAGAGAAGAAGAAGAAGGAAGAAGAAGAAGAAGAAAGAAAGAGGAGAAGGAGGAGGAGGAGGAGGAGACGAGGAGAAGAAGAGGAGGGGTGTAGGTGGAGAGGGAGAAGGAGAAGGTGGAAATTAGTGATAAAGAGAGAGGAGAGAGAGAGAGAGATCGACTGGGAGCGGCCTAAGATTTTTTTTTTTTTTTTTTTTTTTTTTTTTAAGAAATTCTTGGTAGGTCTCATTCTCGTGGCTGATGACAATAACAACCGCGTGTTTACTCTCTTTTTCGGGAATTTAAAGCGTGTAAACAGAGACTACTGAGTTCGGAAAACACAAAACACACGCACTGCTCTCACAAACACATAAACACAGCGCACTCACACACAACCGCACACACTGCACAAACACACACACAACACACACACACACACACACCACACACACACACACACACACACAAACACAAACACACCACACACACACACACACACACACACACACACAACACACACACACACACACACACACAAAACACACACACACACACACACAACACACACACACACACACACACACACACACACACACACACACACACACACACACACACAACACGCAACACCACACAAACACAAGTGAGTATACATATACAAACTCATACATGCAAACATACAGGACACAGGTTATGTACATAGATAACTGTATATATTCATTTGCAGAT